CAGCTGGATTTGACAGAGGGGTGAGGATGGGTTTTTTTTCCCCAAATATGAGGAATTTCACAGCAGTGAGGACAGGACTGCTCTGCTCTCCATGTCCACACACAACCAGTGACCATGACTCTCACCAAGGGTTTGCTCCTGTGCCATCCCAGCCAGCACCTGTTAACTGGTTCACCCCTTTATCAAGAGGTAATTTTATACAAAAGAAAAAGTGTGTTTTCTTATTTTAATAAGCACATGGATTTTTCTCTCATGCCAAGCGAAGCTTGTGGAGGGCCAGCTGTGAGCAAAGGCAGAGAACTGCTTTGAGATGGACCCAAACGTGATGATTTCTGCCTGTGACAAGCTGTCGTACCACACTGACACACGCAGCCCCCTGAGCTAACTCTGGAGCTGAACTTCTGCGAGCTAGTGCTGAGCTTCTCTCCAGCCCTTTAAAAATGACTATGTTTTATCTAGCAAAAACAATGCCTTTTGATTAATACTTCAGTCTGTCCTTTATTTTCATTGCTTTTACAGTAGAATAACATAGGTTAGACCAAGGGATGGTGATTCTGTATTCTGGGTCCTTTAAGTTATGGCAAAGCACTGCTGTTCCATATCCATGTGACATCTGTGTTGGTGATTATGAGGGATTACAGGATTTGGTGATAAAGCCCATTTAATTAACTTAATTCATGTTACATTGATACTAATTGAAACTAACTGTGTTTACATCAGGAACTCGACATGATGTGAAATATTTGGGACCCTGCATTTGGCTCTATATGTTGGGGATATAACAATTCCCGTTTCAGTTTTAGGATGCTTATGGGAGAAGAGGCCTGTGTAAGTGGTTCTAAGGTGTGTGGCTGCAATCTCTGGTCAAGAAGGCCATGCTTCAAGACAGCCTACTAAAAATCATTTGATAAACATAATCCATACCTTTACAACAAAGAGAATTAAGACCTAAACTAGTGAATTGTTTGTGGGATGATTAATTTCTGTGTTTAATCACACTAAGTCTTTGTTGTAAAGGAGGAAGTGAGAAAATAGACACTGGATAGTTACAAAAACTTAATGTCTTCAGGTAAATTTTGTGGGGTCCTTGAAAAGGATGGGAATTCATTGACAAATGTCTTTTGATTTGAATCAGGACTACCAGACCAATGACAATGACCAGGCTGTGGTGGAAATCTGCATCACACGCATCACCACTGCCATCAGGGAGACAGCATCCATCGAAAAGCACGGGAAGGCCCTCGTGGCTCTCTGGGAGTCGTGTCTAGAGCACAACCTGAAACCTTCTGGAAAAGATGAGGACACACCACATGCCAAAATCGCATCTGATATTATGAGCTGTATCTTGCAGGTGAGTCTGAGCTGAAAGTGAAGGAGTGTAACGCATTCCTCAGCTATTTAGTTTTAGCTTTTAAAAAGCAGCTGTACTTTGTTTTCTGAGGGTGCATGGGAGTGATTGCATTTGTTTAAAACCAAGAATATGGCCCAAAATGTTAATGTGTATCGTTTCATGTCCATGGCATCCATTGCAGTGAATCAAAAGTTTTGGCAGCTACCTTATCTTCAGAAGTGTCTCGATTGTTTAGTGCCAGATTTCATTATCTTAATGCTCCATTAATTCAAAGCATTAACATTTTGTGTAAGTATTAACGTGGGAGACATAGGACTATTATTTTCTGTGGTTACAGAAAGATTCATTTGAAAGCACTTAAAATCAGGGAAGTGGTTATTCTTTGGAATGTTTCTGGAAGGCAGCAAAATACCAAAAAGATTTTAACCGCGTGAACTTTAGATCATTAGATATCCTGTCAGTAAGGGGGATCTCCCTGGATTGTAAAAGCTGAGTCCAGCCACAATGCAGAAAAAATGACTTCTGAGCTACTACTCTAAACAGAGGACTAGAAAAGAGCTATGCACTGGCCAGGAGTGTTGGAATGTCTTAGAATATTTTACTAAATGTTGGTGGCAGCAACAGCAAGACAGAAAAAGCATTTAGGTCCCAAAGACATTTGCTGGAAGAACAGCTGAAATTGGGTCCTGTTGGAACTCAGTCAGCTATGAACTATTGCTCCCTATGAATGCAAGACTAAAAAGAAGATGTCTTCATATGTAGCAGCCTTCTGGGGATAGGAGTGGGCTGTTCCAAGGCTTTTTACAAAAGTAAGCTGAGGATGAAAAGCCATTTAAAGGTGGTGGGGGGGGAGGAATCCAGTGTGCCAATGAGATATTCCATATAATATTACATCATGGTCAGTACATCAACCAGGGTTGACTGGAAAGCTGCAGATTCTCTTGGGAATCACTCTGGCTCACTCTTCTGGGATTGGGGTTTTGGGTTTGGGGTTCCTTTTCCACTCCTCTGGGATCGCTTTCGGCAGGTGGTGAGCAACTGTACTGTGCATGACTCATTTTTTTAATATATATGTGTGTGTGTATATGTGTGTGTGTATATATATATATATATAAAAAATTATCATTACTATTTTAATTTTATTTTACTCCAATTATTAAATTGTTCTTATCTCACCCTACAAGTCTACTCACCTTTACCCCTCCAATTCTCTCCCCTATTCCCTGGGTGCGTGTGAGCAGCTGTGTGGTGTTTGGCTGCCAACCAAGTTAAACTCCCACAGCAATACTTTAATATTATCATAGAATACGCTTTCTAAAGTATTTGATGGCTTGTCTGAGCTTTCAGCTTGTGCTGTTGGCAACTGTGTGCCTAAATCAAGCTAGCTCATACCCAGATGTTTTAGGGATTGCACTGTATTGCACATTACTTCAAGAAAAGAGTTCATTGGAATGTAATGAGAAAGTTATAAAAGTACGTTTACTGCTCCCTGAAACAGAGCTATTATCAGTAAGTTCCTTTGCATAAAAAAAAAAAAAAAAGAAAGAAGGCATAAAACGAATTTTTATACAATACATGAGGGATAGTTGAAGTAGTAATGAGTATCTGACAGCTGGGTTGAATCTCACAGCATGTTTCTGTTGATATTAGCAGCAGGGAGGTCCTCTAGGTTTGCAAACATCACCAGATCGTATTATTGAAATCTGGTTTTCATTGTCACTTTCACATTTTCATAAGTCTGCATTCATGCCCTGATATTTACAGTGGAACAAATGAAACCTTTCTCCTTCCATCTGAATTCAAACCTTTTCTTAACTAAGTATTTTGTTATTGTATGAGGGAAAACAAAATTGTTCTTCGGAATTTTCTTAGATCTTCTAAATCATAGTCAGGGGGCCAGACCTTATCTTCCCGTTCTTTCTGCATGGAGTCCCAGAGTGTAACGTGGAGACAGAATTTGGCTCCTACTCAGCCCAATATAATGAGGCATAATGTTGATTTAAACATGTTGCTGCATAAAGCTCCATTCATTTTTCTCATTGAAGGTGCAGGTTTTGGTCACATAGCAGTTGCCATGATATGCTGTCTTGATGTTCAGGAGCTGCTGCAGCCCCTTCTTCCTTAGGGGCTGTCGGAAGGGGACTGTCCCAGAGTGGCTGCAGCACTCCACTGCTTGGCAGATCTCCGTTGCAAAGAAAAATCCTCATAGTTGGTTAAACTTGGCTCTTTTGCATTGGGTGAGTAGCACAATGGAGCCTTAATTAGGGTCAGTCCTGCTCTCTGTGAGGCTAATAGCAAAGGCAGGTACTGCTGATGGAGGCAGAGCTGGCCCAGCAGGCAATGTAGCAGGGCATCTAGAACAATAAACTTGGTTGTTTTTTTTTTTTTTTTCCTCAGATCTAAATTAATTTTTTTCAATACTGCTCCAGCCTGAGCATGTGTTAAGTCTGGACTGCCTTTCTTTGCACTATTTTGTTGCTTTTTGAAACATCTGGGTTCCAGCGGTTGCTTGTGGTTTTAGATGCTAATTAAATACAATCATATTGCAGGATTATTTTCAAAAACAATGATGTACTCCAGTTTCAAAGAGATGTTCAAAATTGAGTGAAGATGAGAGAAAAGCACTGATTAAGGAGGCTCCAGAAAGAATGTAGGTCCTCAGTTACATATAAACATATCCTACTAGTTTCAAGGGCAGTTATGTATGGGAACTTAATGGGCAGTAGATGCGTATGGTCTGTGCACACAATTTCACATCTACAAATAGGTGCAGAAAACCTTTTCTGACCTTGATGTCACAACGTAAGTGTCCATGCAGATAACCCTGAGATGACTGCAGCTCGGTGCCTTTTTGAGGACAGAAGTTAGCTGTCTTGAAAAATTTCAGTTGACCCGAGGTTCAGAGAAATTGACTGGAGTTTAAGAAAGGAAATCCAAATTATTAGAGGAAAATTTGTCTTCAATACTAAAGCTGTTGCCCTGTGGGTAAGTCTCCCAGTACGCTTACTTATGTGTACTCTTCTCCTCATTTCCTTTGATTTGGTCGCAGTGGCTTAGCATGAGATCCTGCTCTGGGAACAGAGGAGCCCTTTCTTCACGTGGTCTCTGCCAGCACAAAGATAAGCCAAAACTTGGAGTAGCAACACACTTTGGTTTAGATGAGGGAAGCTGTGACTTGTGGTGGGGGAGATGTATCCATGCCTGAAATTAAGATTCTGTCCTGGTGCTGAGCTGGGCCAGAACTGGTTCTTTTCAGCAGCTGGAACAGCGCTGGGGTTTGGGTTCAGCTGGGATTTGGGATGAAAAGAATTTTGATCACAGACCAATATTTTAACTTTGCAGGAAGTTGAAGGACTTCATGTTTTGCTGGTCTACAGGGGCAAGATCTAGAGGGGGCGAGGAATATTGCAATGACTCAGCCCCATGGGCATTTGGCTCTGCCAAGGGGCTGTTCCATCTCCTGTCCCCCATGGGCAGGAGATCCATGAGGGGCTCTTCCTCTCTTGCTCTCTCTGGCTTTGGCTCAGGCTCTGGCTCTCCCGGGATTGCGGTTTCGGGTCGGGATTGTGGCTTCTCCGGGATCGTGATCTGGGAACGGGCCGGGCTGGGTGGGCGGGTGGTGAGCAATGGCACTGGGGGTCACTCGTTTGTTCAATTCAGCAGCACATGTACTGAAATTGAAATGATACAGAAAAGATGAGCATGGCGCCTGCACAAGGATGATATGCACATTCCTGAAGCAGTCTACATTTTTTGTATATTTTATTACTATTATTATTACTTTAATATCATTATAATTTTAAGTTTTCATTTATTTCCATGATTAAATTGTTCTTCTCTCACCCTATGAGTCTCCTTACCTTTGCCCCCCAATTCTCTCCCCTACCTACTCTGTGTGGATGATGGGTACAGATTCTGCTGTCTTCCCTGAGAGTACTGAGCACAAGATGTCTTGTTAGAAATGTTACAGCAGTTAATGTTCAACTAGTGCACTTAATATTGTGTTTGCTCCTCTTGCAGAAGACAAAAATAGGTGTGTTATTAGCATCTCCTGGTGCAATACTTTTAAATTTCCTTACTCACTCTTACTTTGACGTCTGCCTTCAGTGGTGTTACCAAAACATAACCTTTCTTGATGTGTTTTCTTGCTTTTTTTTCCCTTCCCTGTTGTTTTGATTTTTGTTCTTCTACTCTGATTAGCATGAGGCTTTATTTTTAATCATTTTTGTCAGCTGCTTAACTTTTCAGTGGTTTTTCATGTTTTTACAGAATTACAATCGACCTCCAGTAATGGCCTTAGCTATCCCAGTGGCAGTGAAATTTCTTCAGAGAGGCAATAAGGAACTGTGCAGAAACATGTCGAGTTATCTGTCCTTGGCTGCAATCGCTAAAGCAGATCTGCTGGCTGATCACACAGACACCATTGTCAAAAGTGTCCTTCAAGGTAGGAACAACACTGAGGTTTTGGATTTAGTCTTGCAGCGTCCCCACCAGTAAATTAGTTAGGCTGCATTAAGTATATATATGAACATGTTATATGTAAAAACATGTATGAGACGTGTATGTATGAAGTATACATATGGACATACCTATAAACATGTGATAAAACATGTTAGACAATTTAATAACAGACTATATCGAGGAATAGTTTTCAAGAGTACATGAATTCACTGAATTTTGTTGACTCTGGAAGTTTCATTATAGATTGGATGACCCATAGGGTAGGAAACACGTGGTTACTTGTTAGAATACTGTACTAATGGACTTCAAATTATAAGCCATGATATGAGACACTAGTGACTGGGCTATTATCCTTTCTATTAGTGTCATTGGCAATACTCCAAAATATAAATGGGGATGAAATGAATCCCGTTCTGTGGCAAAACACTCAAATGTAAGGTACAAAATCTTTGTAGTGGCTCTTTAATTTTGCCTACATTATTAACTTCAGGTAGAATTTTATTGCTAAACTCTGGACATTTTATTTTTGTGGTTTAAAAAAGCCAAAAATATTCAAACCTCTACAAAAGGAAGTCCAATTTAGTAGAAGTTGTGAAGTTCACAGTATTTGTTGCAATGCAGTGCTACTGCAGTAGTAAAAGCACCGTTTGTTTTTCTTCGTGTACAGGTAATAGCAATAAGGAGCAATAACTGTCTAATTATTCCAAGAACATTATTATTAAGATGTTAAGCCCACAAATTAAACCTGTGCATTCTGTATTTATTAAAAAATATAAATGGAGTGTAGCTATTTTTAGGTGTTTTATGGAAGGATAGCTAAGCTGGAAAGTAATTTTGTCGTTAAGACGTTATGGTAAGAGTTTGCATCTTTCTATCCACTTTGTTTAAGGACAAATGTGTGATAAATGTGATAAATCTGTATGAGCTCAGTGATAATACTAATTGAGTCCAGGAAAAGAATATTGCTAACAACTTAAGGCACATGGATAATTCTTTTAAGACCTGTGACATCAGTATTTATGTATTACCTTTGTGCATTACCACTTATAACTCAGTGCTATTAATAGAAAGAAATAAAGTGAAACAGGGTTTATTGTAGTCATAGGTTTAGGAAAAGTGATTAACACCCACAACTGAAGGCTTCATCATGACTCCTTCTCTGGAGACATTCGAGACCCGCCTGGACACCTTCCTGTGTGATCTCGTTTAGGTTCCTGCTCCGGCAGGGGGGTTGGACTGGATGATCTTTTGAGGTCCCTTCCAATCCCTGCCATTCTGTGATTCTGTGTTTCTGTGACTCTGCCTGCTTGTTTTTGTGTCTTTATGTTATTCTACCAGCAGATGTTGCTGTGGACATCAGGTTTGGAAATTCCAGACTGGAAGAGTTTGAATAGGCAAAGTGCTCTGTTTTACATACTGGCTTAACTGAACTGTACGTAATTTCTATTTCAGGCATGAAAAGGTTGGTTTGCAGCAGGCTAAGAACCACGCTTTAAAGGCTGAGTGTTTGCTGAAGGGAGAAGGGAAGCAAGAGGATAAGCTGCTAAGGATGAATTGACAAAGCAGCGTGGAGACAAAGGGCCTTGTTCTGGTGCTGCACAGACGGGGCTCAGCCTAATGGCACCAGTGAGACTGATAGTAGACTTTGGCCCGTTGCCTGCGAGTGTTTGAGAGCTAACTGGATTTTTTTTTTTTTTTTATTACTTGGGGCAACTGTTTGGCTGCATAATCAGTTTCTTATCTTATTAGCTAAAAAAGAGCTCTTTAGAAAGTGTGTTTAACTACTCTGTTCCTGTTAGCGTGAACTCAGCTTCCAAACACGCAGATGTCTGTTCGGTGCCCGTGATGCTGACAGCCCCTGTGCTGACACCTTCCATCAGCGTGAGGGATCAGGCAGGTTTAGTCCCATTTCCAGGGGACAGCAGCAAAACTACCCTGCAGTGGTTGTTGTAATCTGAGAGTCCCACGGCCGCTCCACCTTCCAGAGGAGCTCAGGCAGGGATGTGGATGCCTCATTCAGCAGAGGTATGTTAGAGAGCAGAACTGGGCCAGCAACGTACTCCAGACGTGCATGTCTTGTGCTTGCTTCCTTTCTGGTGAAAGAGCAGGGTCACGGTGGCTTTCTCCACATTTGGAGCCCAAACACCCACAAAATATTATTTACTTGGTGTTTTCCAAACACACAAAGTAACTGTTGACAAAGAAAAATGTAGTTAAGCTAGGAAGGAAAGAGAAAAAAAATGAAACATACTGGTGGAGGTGACTTTTGGTGCTGGACAGAAGGGGACTAGTCTGTAGGAAAGCTTTGCTTGTCCACAGAAGTGATAACGAAGAGCAAATCAGTTAGAAAGAGGAGAGTTTTCCAGCTGAGTCAGTGAGAATGAAAGGACTGGCTTTGTATTTGGTCATCTGCCAAACCAGAACAGAGATAGGAAAAGGCTATTTCCAATACAAAGTATTTCAGGTATGAGGCACAGTCAGAAAAGAGCCAGGAAGGATTTTTGGTAATCTTTTTGAGGATTTTGCTTTTTTTTTCTGCTGTGTTTCATAAACATTTGTTTTCATTTAACGGGGGGCACTGTATGGAAAGAGGATTTCAGAGTGGTTTTGCCCTTGCTCAATGCTGGGACCTCAAGAGTTTTTCTTAACTCTGAAGATCTGTTTTCTGGCTGACAGCAAATGAACAGAGGTAGTACTTCATTGTTTTGTAGTTAAGGTTATTTGCAGATATTTAGTAAGGAATTTTTCTCATACTTACAACTGAGTATTTATAATTTAGATACGTTTTTATTGAAGGATGATAGGAGAAATTCCACCAGTCAGAGCATTTATTTTTACCTTAAATAACCAGTGTTGCCAAAACTTTGGAGCAGATCATATAACTTTAGCTATGAAGGACAACCCCATTGAATGGCACAGTAAAGTGGAAATTCCCTTGTCACAGCTTTTTCTTACTACTTTTGTCTTGTGGAAAGAAGGGTCTGGTAGCTGCACTGTATTCAGGAATAAGCATAGCAGTGACACGTTGAGAAACATTTCAAAGTGTGGTCTTAGGACATCTGTAGGGAAGAGAGACAGAGAAATATGTGAGTAGAGCTGAAGGGTGCCCTGCTTCTAGTGGGAACTGTTGCTTTGAGTAAGATATTCTCCACCATAACTTGTTCAGAGGCTTCGACAGGTAGTGAAGAATTCTTCTTGCCATAAATAGTTACATATCCAGCAAATAACGATTCATCATTGTCTACTTCAGCTCATTTTTCTACACACAGATCCCCACCGCTGTCTTGGCTCTCTGTGTCTGCTTCTTATGCACCATATCCAGCCCTGTGTTTAGTGGCTTTTCAATAAGCTTGAGAACATGAGAGAAGAAAGCTGCTGCCATCAATTCTGCCTTCTACAAACCCCCTGTTAGCACCAAACAAGTTGATTACTTTGGGTATCTAAATGTATTTCAAACCTGTGTGTCCTCCTCAAGTGACCAGCATTATGCATGGGGTACCAATTGATTATTTATATTTTTTTATTTGGGGATATCTCAAAACCAATCCTTCCTTCAGCCTCCAAGCGCCGTGCTAGCACAGCCTCAGGTCAATGCACATAGAATCATGGAATGGTTTGGATTGGAAGGGACCTTAAAGCTCATCCAGTCTCAACCCCCCTGCCATCAGCAGGGACACCTTCCACTAGACCAGGTTGCTCAAAGCCTCATCCAGCCTGGCCTTCAACACTTCCAGGGAAGTGTGTGGCATGTGTTAATATGTAAAACATCTTTTCTGTACCAGTGGCCACGTCCATGTGGGAGAACCCCTAGAGTGGCAGATCCTTCCGTGTGGCAGCGTTCACAAGAGATTGTTATCCTGACAGGCCTTTAAAGCCATCTCTGGCTAACGCTTGGATTTCAGTCCTCTGAGGGTCACCAAGTTGTTGGCATTTATGTTCTTTTTCTATTAGCAGCTCAAACTGTGTGGTTCAAAACATGGAGAAGCTTCCAGTTGGTACTTACTTTCAGAGTTGCAGTTCATGAGAAGCGTGGAAAGTTTTAGTTTAGTAAAGTATCTTTATTTACAGAACAACTTTACAAAAATAATTTCAATAAAATTATTACAAAGTCAATTTACAATATAATACAGCTGCGCTTTCTCAACATGTAACATCAGATTATGATGAGGAATGTCACCTTTATACGTTAGGTCCATCCGTGGCATAAATAATGCTTTAAACAAGAAGCTAGTTTTGTTATAGTCTAAAAATTGCTAACAACGATTAATAAACGACACATTTCTTATCTGACGTGGTTCCTCTGTACAATTCACATTAGCACTATCAAAACCAATGACTGGAGGAGCCTCGTGGCTGCCACGCAGAGTCTGCTCAGCCGGATACCCGGTGTGTTTGCCTCAGCAGGGCTGCCAGGAGCACCATCCGACTCTGCAGTGTCCACAGTGGCACTTGGATACCTCAGAACACACTGTGCTAGAGAGACAGCAGTCGTCTGACCTCAGGAACAGCTTTTCCAATGTGGTTTTTTCAGTGTTTTGCCAAAACAGCAGGCAGAGATCAAATCCTATCTCCACAGTACCTTGTTTTGTAAACTTGCAATTCTAATCTTCCTTGGGAATTTCAAGAGAGGTGGGCTCCTACGGCTCTGTTTACTTGTACAGGTTGGTGTTCAGCTCTTCATTAAAGACATTCTCTACTTCAGAAACCACCTTTGCCAGAACTTAAGAAACATATTGGGCTCCTCCATGTGGCAGAACTTCTGTGACTCCCCACCCGACGATGTTGCCCCTGATACCACATGCATCTTCTCCGCTCTGTGCTGCTATCTCTTTAGCACTGAGCACTCTGTCCCACAGGTTAAAGCCAGTTAATTTTCCAGAGAAGGCTAAAGCTTCATCAAATCCACCTCCAATGCAGCAGCCATTCTTTTCTTGACCAATCTGCAAAATCCCTCCATCTGGAATGGTGTGAGCATCAGCAATGTCCGAGGCAGTGGCTGTGAGCTCTCCCTTCACCCACAGGGATGCAGATCCGTTCTCCGACCTCCAGGTGCTGCAGAGATGGATCCACTTCCCAGGAACAACTACGTTTTTGACAGTTAGTTTATGCTGGTCACCACCAACAACAAGCACTGCAGACTCCTGGCTGAGATAAAGCTGGATTTCATATGGATTAAACTTGGTTCCGTAGGAGAAGACAATAGTTTTGTCCAAAGCCTCAGTCACCTTGATCCAGATACAAGCAGTGAAGGAGCGAAGGGTCATTCCAGCCGTTGGGTGAACGCTCCCAAATATCTTTTTTGAACGCATGGGGAATAGAATTGCTGTTTCACACCCTGAAAAAATTAGAAAGATTGTCAGGGAAGTAAAAACTGGTCTGTTTGTACATGCACAAGTTAGGACCCTTGACCCTGGGCTTCTCAAAGGGAACTGAGAGCTCAGCTCATCTAGTGGGATTTAGGATGATGGGTCCAGGGGCTAATTGGGCTGCAGGAACAAGGCTTGGCTCTTCCCTCTCTGCACAAGTGGTCTATTGGGTGGTCCTGGGCCATGCACAGTGACATTTAGGTTTAATACTGCCTGTCTGCCCTGGGAAGTTGGGCTTCTCCGAGGGTCTGTGCAGGGTAGGTGCCTTCTGCTCTGACATGCCTCCTCAGAGACCTTCTCTTTTGCTGGGTCACCTAGAGAAATGGGCACTTTACAGTGGGTAATTATGTCAGGTGGTCCTCTCTGTTTCATTTAGGTCTTGTTTTAGTCTCCATGCTCTTTTTTCGATATGGAATGATGAAAACAGCAATGTTATGGTGAGGAGATGGGTTCAGTGATCTATCAAACATCTGGTTTGGATACCATCCCATTGCTGGGATAGCGGGGTGAGGCTGGGTAGCTGTGTCAGGAGCAGTTATGTTGAGTCCTGTGGATACCTGGGCAGCAGAGGAGAAGGGGACAGGGGCTACTGAGAAGCAGGAGCAGGGAGCGTTGGCAGAAGCCTGCTGAGATGTGTTTATTTATTTATGATAACGACTCCCTTTCCTGACCCTGCCTTTATAGGGCTGTTGGTCAGAAACTTTAACGTGCTCTGGTTAAGAATGGGAAATGTATAAGATGACTGATGTTTTTTAAAGAGTTCATCTCTCCTCTCCAATTAATCAATGTGATGATAACAGAAATGAGAATACTTAAAAGCACCAACAGAAATTTATGAAACTTAGAAAACTACCTGATTATCACCAGTCCTGTTCCCTAGTCGTATAAAACTTATTATTCTAAGCAACACAGGGGAAAATGCAGCCTCCTCCTGCCATGAAGCTGGTTGGTTTCCTGTTTAAACAAGCTAGAGGATCTCAAATGTGTGTGGAAATTTCTGCTTCAGTGAATGAAGGACTCTTTGTGTCCTCCAGGACTGGGCTGCTGTGTTATTTCATAGGCCGCTTCCTTTCGACTTGGAGCAGATTTTTCATTTCTTCATTGGCCCTTTGGAGGAGGGGCAGGGTCAGTGAGCAACTGTTGGGGGATACTCCTTAAAATGCTACTTAAGAACACTATTGTGAAAAAGCTTTTAATTAGCAAGCTTTCAGGCTTTATTATGAAGGTCTAAACAAAATTAAAACCAGCTTCCCTGAAGAACAAAAAATGTGATTAGAAAATCCCTCCAGAGTATGGCTGGCAGTAATTCAAGATGTGAGAAATTAAAGTCAGTTGCCGAAAATTCCCTTGGAAAAAAAAAAATTCCAGAGAGAGATTCTGGAAGTGTTTAAAATGTATCTTTTAAATAAATAATTAAAAAAAGAACACTTCATGTAAAACTATGTAGGAACCAGTGGAAGTAATCTGAATTTCTCCTGGTGAGACCGAGACCCTTAATGCTGATCAAGTTTTTTACTCTCACCTAGTGCAGAATAACTGACTGCGCGGCTGGCTCTGGTACAGGAGAGAGATAAAGAATGACATCATGCTTTCTGGAAGGCAAGATTCATGTGTTTGGGGGGGAAAAAAGAAATATGCTGTAAGATCTACTCCTACACAGGAGATTACTAAAGTGTTATGATAAATAAAGGAGTAAAAGCAATTTACTTATAAAGCTGAATCCATGCCCTACGTGAAAGGAGGGGTTGATGGTAGATTAAAAAGTGCTTTGATGTAAACTATTTTTAGGTTGTGTTTGTATCGTGATAGGCTTGTGTCAGTTGTTGTCTTTGCTTTTATAGTTACAAGAAGCTCTCCTTGCTCACCTGTGTAAGAGCTTACTCACGCTGCTGGTGCTGTTAAGGGTTGCTGGCAAGGCTGGTGTAACTCTACTCCTAACTTCCTATTCACGCGTACTCGCAGGATTCTGCAAGTGTAGATTTGTGAGGGGTTTTTAAGCTGCAATAATGTACATTTGTGGAAAATAACGGTCCTTAAAGACAGGTCAGCATTTAGAAAACATGCAGTGGTAGCTGTCTGGTGGGCAGAGTTATAGTCAATATAGTTATATTTTGCTTGTAGCAATTTTGCAGCCACACTTTAAATAGATGGAGGTCTGCTCTGCCATACCTAAGTTGTTATAGCTGCTTTTTTTGGCTGTCGTATTACAGTGCACAGAAAAACTGCCATGAAATTTGAGATACGAGCTCATCTTTCGATGGCCAACTCGCTTGCTGACCAATGCAAACATTTTGGAAGGGAAAAACAACCCCACAACAATACCAGAGTGTTACTCATTTTTCCATGCTCGAGGAAATAGCCTGTCCTGACAGTTGCATGCAGAGAATGTGCCCTCCCTGCTGTGGGAAGCGTGCTTAAGCTGCTTGACATCAGCAGCGTGTCCTCAGATCCAGCTCTGCTCATGGGCAGTTGGAGTTGGCGAGGAGACAACGTGGATTGAGGAAGAGGAAGGAGTGGGTACGTGCATGGAGAAGAACGGGAGAGCTCAGTGACTGTTGCGTATGCGTAGGAGTTACCAGCTGGGAAGGTAAAAGGTGAGAGAACACAATTATATGTTTAAAAGACATTTGCTGCTCTCTGGCAAGAGTTTTGATCTAGGAGAGCCTGCAGGAGGTGGGTCCCTAGCTGGCTTTGCCTTGTGTAAGGACTTTGATTAAACCCTGCTTTGATCCCACGTTTGAAAAGCTCAGCACCTCTTTTTTTGAGAAGAGTTAATGGGTTTCCTCTCTGTATGTACAGACTGCTCAAAGCTGCTGTGCTGTTTGGGAAAGGTGCTTAAGAGGAGTGTAGGATGTTTTTTTGGACAGACCCACCAAAGAGAGCTGTGGGTAAAGCATAGCGCACATGGACTTACCTGCTGGCAGTAAGTGCTGAGCTGCCCATTTCTGTGATGCCTTGAGTTCAACTCTGGTTTGCTGTAGCTCTTTCCACAGAGAGTTCAAGATGAGATTGTCTCCTCTGGTAGGACTGAATTTATCCATCTCCTGAGCCTCCACCTCAGACCTCCTCAGGCAAGCGCTCTCCAGCCGGCTGAGCCTGCTGGACACGTTGTGACTCAGCAGCAGAAGATGCTCAAGAACCTTTCCTTGCTCACACTCATGAAGCCTCTTGGTTACTTCAGCTTGGTCACTGCTCCTTGCGAGCGCCTGCTCTACCTGTGACGCGATGTGGGAGGTGACTTTCTCAGCTGCGGTGGCGAAGGAGCCCGCCAGGTTGGTGGTGAGTTGGCTCAGCTCTTCTTTTAGGGTCTGCAGGTCCACTTGCAGGATCTCATCCATCGCCTGAAGCATCATGTTCTCTTTCATCTGTGAGTTCTCGAGCATGATGAAGAGCTTGTCCCACTCGGTGTGCTCTCGCTGGCAGTCGCATGAAGCAGCTGGAATGGAAGACACAGATGTTGCTTTTCCTTTGTACTTACATTTTTAAACGGAAGGAGTATTTGACAAAATCTGGCTCTGTGTAAGGCTTATGTGCTCCAGACTGTCAGCGTGTTTCCCTCTATATCAAACCAGAAAAGTGCATTACAGCAGTTCTAAAACTAAGTGCCATCGGCAGTCTGTTGCAGGAAAACTGAAAAACACAGAGTGTAAAACAAATTCCAAGCCATGCCATCCAAGTGCTTTAGCATGTCCTGTCCATAATAATCTACTGGTACAAGCACATGCTTCTGCCTCTGAAAAAAGAATTTATGTTTGTAATAATAACAACTGTTTCAAGAGATAAGCATCAAAGAATGCAATTCTGCACTTAACACAAATTGAGTTTAAATCTACTTACTGTCCTCAGGACCGAGAACCGGACCTTCGATTTCATTATCCAGATTCACATACATGAGATCATAGTCATCATCTTCATCCAGAACAGAAACAGAAGCCCTGAAAACACAGAGCAGTGTCAGCACAGCAAGTATTTCTTGGGGCAGCATTCTCTGCAAATAGCTGAGCTGTCTGGAGCTGAAGCCGAAGTCAGACTTCAGTGGAGACAAGACTGCGAGTGAGAGCCAGCGAGCCCCTAATAAATGCTCTGAGTGCCTCAGCTTGAATGAATGAGCAATGCTGGTGCCAGTGGTGTAATAGGAGCAGTTCTGGCTGTTGGTTTTGGCGGAGAGAGGAGAAGGGGGCGTGCAGCTTGCTCAATCCCAGCCTTCCAGGTTTGCAGTGGGGGGAGATGTACCGACTCACGGAGGGGAAGGAACAGGAAAGCTGCTCTTGGGAGCTGCCGCTTCCCCCGCGAGAGCAGATCGCGATGTGAGAGCGGGGGATGAAATCCCTGGGAGTTCTCTGCCCACAAGCGCTGGCTGGTTGTGTTATTTGTGTTCTTTGTGTGTGGAAAATGTTCTCTGCAAACTCATTTTTGTAGTTGGTATGTGCCAGGGCTCTGGAGGGGATTGTTAGAAAAATAAACATGCCTGGAGTTGGTTTGGATACCTGTGTGTGGTTTAACCTAAATATTGTTGTTTTTTTGATCATTATGTATAAAAAACTTCTATTATATACTGTGAGTTTACTGCTTTCAGCAATGAAGGAGGACTCATAATGACAGCTTGTTAGAGTTTTGCTTTTCTAGCCCTAATTACCAATAACAACATCATAACTATGTGGCTAATACGTGGCTGTTAGTATCTTGTTTTGGGAGCATTTAGATTAGCAGCTGCATGATTAGTGTTGTTTCTTTAAACTCTGGAAAAAAACCAACACAAGGCTTGGATTAGACATTAATCTAGTGCTAAGTATGACTGTTATTGGTGTTAGTCTGTTTTAAATTCTGGAAAGCTTCTCAGTTCAGTGTGCCATTAATTATTTCAGAGATGCATTGCTTAGGTGAGATTAGGGCTAATATGGTACAAATTACATATTAGCTATGAAATATTCAGAGAATAGCAAAAAAAAAAAAAAACAAACCATATATAATTGCATCCAGTTTGCAGTCTGTTCCCTTTCCATTTGTGCCTCACTTCACTCATCTCTAGGGAGACCTCATTGTGTCCTTCCAGTATTTCAAGGAGTTTAGAAACAGGAGGGAGAACGACTTTTGATACAGGCAGAGAGTGATAGGACAAGGGGAAATGGTTTTAAACTGAGAGAGGGGAGATTTAGGTGAGATATTGGGAAATGTTTCACCCAGAGGGTAGTGAGACACTGGCCCAAGTTGGCCAGAGAAGCTGTGGCTGCTCCTCCCTGGAAGTATTCAAGGCCAGGCTGGATGAGGCTTTGAGCAACCTGGTCTAGTGGAAGGTGTCCCTGCTGATGGCAGGGGGACTGGATCATCTTGAAGGTCCCTTCCAACCCAGGTCATTCTATGATCAAGGACAAAAACATTAGTCTTGGTGCATGGGCTTTTATCTTTGAACACTCAATTTGGAGTGAATGTCAAAATACCTGTACAGCTTCGAGATCTCCTTCTGTCCATGTGGCATTGAAGTACCTGATCAGGCTCATTTTTTGGGGGGAGGGCTCACTTTTTTTACAAGCTCTGTGTGCTGCTGGGTTGGGCAGAGCAGAGACTGAGCACCAGGCAACCTTTGCTACTCGTCCTGGGTGCAGGGAGCACCACCAAAGTGATGCAAAGCCATGGAGTGTCCCTAAATGTTCGTTAAGTCTTTGCCTGAATTGCGTAATTCTCAGCGTGTGGTCTGCTTGGAAAGCCTGAGAAACGTCTAATCTGGAAAGTATTGGGGGTAAGGGTGGTAGGGGGAGGAAGAGGGAATGAAGGTAATTAAGGAGTTGAGTATAATGTTTTTCCATTCTTGGATAACAAATATACTTTTCAGGCTCTTAGTTTAGACTGAGACAGATGAAGCAAGATGGAAAGAAGTTAATTAGTCAGGAACGGGCACAATATCACCTCTGATTGCCCGAGCTCTGAGAATCAAAAGGTTGGTGAGCTGAGTGTGTGTAAATCCCTTAGGAACCAAAAAGGTGTGACAAACAAATGGCAAGAGGTACTCCTTGGAGCTAACTAGAAACGTGAAAATACAAGAAAAGAGTGAATTGGGTTGTGCTGTGTGACCTTTCTTAAGTTATACGAAGAACAGACACAAACTGTGGTATCTGCTTGGGTTGTTTACAAGTTTCTATACACAGATTATTCAATTAAAAGCAATGCCATATCAGTGAGGTCATTTAAATATCACTCCAAAGTGACGAAGTTACTTCTAAATTGCCTTTGCTTTTTATTTATCTTGGTTGGTGAATATAAACCCAGCAATGTTTGCTGTAGGAAACTGCCCAAATTTGTGTTTTTACAAAGTCTTTTTGTTCGGAAAAGTTTCACGGCTGCAATCTGTCGTGTTGTGTCACGTCCAATTACCTCACTGCTCTAATACAGCTGATACACAAAATGGTTGTTTTCTCAGATCAAATAATTAGTCTTACTTTTTGGATACCTTTCTGTCTGTGATAGCCCAGCTTGGGCAGTAGCATGTCTTGGGTTAGTGTCTGTCTTTCCTCATTTAAAGCTGATCGTTTTTCTTTGTCTCTACTGAATTTCTTCCCTCTACACTTTTACGGCCAATTAATTTTGCCTGTCCAGGAACATGGGAATTTTATCTTTTGCAATTGTTACCATTGCTGAAATCTGACTGGAGCTTAAGGGCACTGCTCCATATGGGCAAAAAACTTCCAGAGGAAACTAAATGTGTGTAAATGCAAAGAAAGGACTTACTTTAGTAAACACTAAATTATCCGGAGGAAAAATTAATTTTTAGTGTGTTTCATTAAAAAACTTTTCAATTTCAAACTCAGATGTAAGTCTAGAAAAGTTCAAGTAAATAAATCCTCTCACTGTTTTAGTTCTACCTTTGGGTGACTTGGTGCTTTGGAACTAGATGGTCTTTAAGGTCCCATCCAACCTAAACCATTCTATGAATCCCACGGTACATTAGTGACACTCGTAGAAGTGGTGCCACTTTTTACACAGATTCACTTGTAATATCATGAAGACATTTGCATAAAGAATGTGGCTAGAAAATGGCCAGAACTGAACAACTCAACTGATCTGTTGAGGGTAATTCATCAGCAAATAGCTTTCCTTTGCAACTGGCCTTTGCTCTTCGTTTATAGAACAGAACAGGACAGAAATTTGCCATGTCCATGGGACCAGAGATGGGGACTGACCCTTTCCTTTAGCACGGCAGCGGCTGTAGGAGGGCTCAGAGCTGCCTTCAAGGAGAAGCCAAAGATTCTTTAAGCAGAGTGAACACTTTAGGATAGGATGCAGAAGTGTGGCTGGCGGAATAGTGTGTAGACACTCCTCCTCCCAAGCCAAAGGTCCCCGTAGGGATCATTACAATCTGTTCAGCTAGAAGTTGTCTGAACCTGCAGTGAATGATGTGTTAGTTACTTGGCTCAGAGGTGATGCTGCAAGAGCTAACAGCGTCTCGGGATGCTTTTGCTGTGTCTGGCAAGAGCACGATGTGATCCAGTCTGACCTGTCTGTCCTTTTTCTACCATCTGTGAAGTGACCTGCTTATCTTCCAAAATTACTGAATCACAGGATTGTAGTGATTGGAAAAGACCTTCAAGATCACAGAGTCCAACCTCCATCCAATTATAAGGCTCAGATATAAATGGGAGAAAAAGCAGCAGGCCAGAGAGCTTTGGAAACCAAATCCAAGGAGACCTTAAGGACTTTCAAGGGTTTTCAAAAAAAGAGCCATACTACATTGCAATAGGCAGATGTGTTCCATATGTTGTTCAAGTGAAACTTAAATATATCGAGGCAGGCATGTACAGCAATGTGAAGTTATATATTTTGGTATGAGCCTGGGCTTCAAATTGAATTATGCACAGACATCTTAAGAAAATGTGTGAGAGAGGGTTTTGCATATCTTTGTGTGTCTGCAGTTGACTCTCTCTGGCTCCTTTCTATTCCTGGAAATGGCATCCTTAACTATTTATGTTCAAATTTACTGTCATGTGTATTTAGTTCTCTTAATAACCAACTATTCTTTCCATATGCTGCTTATTTAATTTGAAAGTCTGAATCTTAACAAAGGAGAAATACAGCTTTTATGTGCTTTCTAGCCTTTTGTATCTATTTTTTTAATTTAAATCACACTTAGTTTGGTCGAGGACTCAACAGAGTATCCTCCAAATCTGAAAGCTCGTTAAACAACCTTCTCATTATATACTTGAGAATTAAAATTATAATTAATAGGATTTTCTTTTTGTGTTTGTTTGGGGTTTTTTTTTTACATCCACATTGTTATACCTGCAATCATTTGTTCTAGTTAGACTATTTTGACCCACTATATATTTTTCTATAGTGTGTTTTATGCCTCCCTGGCTTTGTTACTGATGATTCTTAAAAACTGGTGTCTCCAGGTGTGTGCTGATTTTCTAGGGCTCTCCCCAGTTGTAGAGTATTGACCAACAGTAAGTCAATAAGTCAGTAAGAGCCTCTCATTTGCTCTGTTCTCAGGGAACGCGATGCTGCTGCGTGTCCTGCCTGCTCTGTACGAGAAGCAACCACAGCCCATAAACCTCCATCTGAGGGAGCTGGTGGCACTGATGGCTCAGCTGGATCAAGCTGAACAGCATCATCTCCTCAGGCTCTTCCAGATCGTGGCTAGGAAAAGAGAACTGGGGGTAAAACTGGGTTTGGAAGATCTCGCTGCTACATACCACACCTCCTTCTGGAGGAGTTGATTTGTTTCAGATGACTTGGCAGGGTCTGTCCGTTCGCTGCTCTCCAAACAGTGAGGAGTCCCATAACATGCATGACAGTCCTTTCCTATGCTAATTCCCCATGAATTCTTTAATTTCATTCCAAATTCTCCAGCTAATCATAAAGAGAACATAACAATGACTCTGCTGGACCAAACCATTTGGGTTAAACCTGTTTTCTACTTTTTTGGCTCTTCCTCTATCAGCTGAGTATAAATTCCCAGAACTATATTTAGAATCATAGAATGGTTTGGATTGG